ACCTTAGGTGTACGTGGCTGGCGCCTTAGCCGGTTGAGCTATAGGCGCCGAGCCTGTTTGTTTGTTTTTGAGACAAAGTTTCACTCTGTTGCCCCAGGTTAGAGTGCCATGGTATCATAGCTCACAGCAACCTCAAACTCCTGGGCTCAAGCAATCCTTTTGCCTCAGCCTCCAAAGTAGCTGGGACCACAGGTGCCCACCACAATGCCTGGCCAGTTTTTCTATTTTTAGTAGAGATGGGATGTCACTCTTGCTCAGGCTGGTTTCAAACTCCTGAGCTCAAGCAATCCATCTACCTTGGCCAGTGCTAGGATTACAGGAGTACCCACGACACCTGGCCTATGACTACAGTTTCTAAAAGAAATATATAATTAAGTTTCAATTTTTTTTTTTTTTTTTGCAATATTTGGCCAGGGATGGGTTTGAACCCACCACCTCCAGCATATGGGGCTGGTGCTCTACTCCTTTGAGCCAATTATAACCTATATTCTTCTTAGGACATTAATTTTCTTTCTCTTTTTTTGGCTGGGGCCAAATTTGAACCCGCCACTTCCAGTGTATGGGGCCAGCGTCCTATTCCTTTGAGCCACAGGCGCCACCCAGACATTAATTTTCTTTCTTTCTTTCTTTCTTTCTTTTTTTTTTTTTTTTTGAGATAGAGCCTCAAGCTGTTGCCCTGGGTAGAGTGCTATAGCATCACAGCTCACAGCAACCTCCAACTTCTGGGCTTAAGCAATTCTTTTGCCTCAGCCTCCCAAGTAGCTGGGATTATAGGCACCCACCACAACACCTGGCCATTTTTTGGTTGTTGCTGTCACTGTTGTTTGGCAGGCCGGGGCTGAATTCAAACCCACCAGCTTTGGTGTATGTGGCTGGTGCCTTAGCCTCTTGAGCTATAGGTGCGGAGCCAGGACATTAATTTTCTATTAAAAAGTATACCATGTAGAATAATATCATATTTGTAAAATATACCTTTTCAAACCACTATTTTACAAAGTACAAAGGATCTGCACTTACCTCCAAATATTGTTTTGGGACAACCAGGTTGATCCAATCCTCCATTTGGGTAGAAATCTATGTGTCCTAGTGGTTCTCTGTAGCCCAGTGCTAAAAGAATTAAACACATTATGCTTTATACTGCTTTGAATTTTTCATATCTCATAGCTTATTTGTTTGTAGGATAGGCAGGAATTGTACGATTATTTTATTACTATTGTTGTTGTTAGTATTATTGTTACACCTATTTAAATGTTTTGTTTTGTTTTTGTTTTTGTTTTTTTTTTTTGAGACAGAGCCTCAAGCTGTCCCCCTGGGTAGAGTGCCGTGGCATTACAGCTCACAG